GAGGCCACCAGTTCGTAGTTCTCCAGCATTACGTGGCGGTACAGCTCCCGCTGCCATCCTGCCAGTTTCTTCCACTCCTCCTTGGTGAAATAGACAGCGACGTCCTCAAAGGTCACGGGTCCCTGGGAAACAAACCGCTCCCTGCTCAGCACCACCCGCTTCGGCGGCCTGCGGACGCTCGGGGCCCTTCGCTCTGACCACGTCGCCCCCTCTTTGCTGCCCTCCACTGGCGCCTTCGCTGCTAGTTTTCACTGTCCGTCCTCACCCACCCGCTCTCTCTCCCTCTCAGCTGCCAGCCGGCGCAGGGCCTGCCTGGTACATTTCAAACAAGCCCCTCAGAGCCCCCACAAAACGACCGGATTACCCACCTTCACAAGCCTCCTTGCCGGGAGGCTGCAACAGCGCTGAGCCTGCTACCCGCCGAGCCCGCTGCCCACCACACTCAGCACCGCCGCATTGTGTCCCCATACTCCCCCTCCATCTGCCCATCTCTGCTGTCTCTCGGCTGGTACCTACATGATCCGCTCCTGGGGGCCCAGACTTCCTGCTCTGAGTGTGTGCAGCACCTCGCACAAGGGGGGCCTGGCCCACGCCTGGGGCGACAAGGCGATCGCTAGCTAATAACGTAGGCGAGGCAGGCAGGTTCCTGCGGCCCCGCCAGGCCTTGGGCAGCGCTGCGGCTCTTTGCAGGAAGGGGGTGTGCAGTGTAACAGGCCAGTGTAACGTCCAGGAGGCAACACATGGTTCTAGCATCCCAAGGGCTCTGCCCCCTTCACGCCGGTCTCCAGGGGACGATGCAGGGGTCACCCTTTGCTGTTGATGGGAAGTGAGCCAGGGACAGGCCTCACCGGCTTGGCTGTTCGAAGTGGGGTGTGCCGGGGAGCCCCTGCTCCGGAACGGCAGGGACTGCGGCAGCAGGGGAGGGGGGAGGGAGGGCTCTGCAGAGGTGGGGAGCAGGGTTTGAGTGGCAGCAATGCTGCCAGGCACGCTGGACTGAGATGCCCTGACTGGGGTGTGGGGGAAGAGGAGGAAGGGGAAGAAATGACCCCTTATCTGTCTACACTGCCCGGCACCATGTGCGGTTATTCACTTATCCCCATTTTACGGAGGGGGAAACTGAGGCACAGAGCCAGGAAAGGACTAAAAGAGATCCCACAGCAAGTCAGGAACAAAACCCAGGATCCCTAACTCCCACCCTCCCCTCAGCCACTAGGCCCCATTCTTCTCCCAGAGCTCGGGATGGAACCCAGGAGTCCTGGCTCCCAACCCGCCTCCCCTCGGGGCCTCCCCGGTCCCCATCCCCGAGGGCCCCCGCGAGCACAGGAGCAGGAGACGCGCGCCCCAGAGCCCCCCGGCCCGGCCCCGCCCCCCCCAGAGCCCCCAGAGCCCCCCGGCCCGGCCGCG